CGCAATACAATTACGCAACATTCGATACAGGAACACGTGCACTGTAACCTAGAGAGTTGCTTGACCGATTTTCATTGTTTTTGAACAACGCAAGATATTGCAAATAATGTCACCCTGCGATTTTTTATCACTTAAGTATACATTGTAAGCATGAGAGTAGAAAGAAAGTAAAATCGTACATGTTTACTGAGGAAAGCTTGGAATTAGCTGACCATGGTAACCCACTTCCATTTGTTTAAAGTTGGGGCGTATAATACAGGTATATTATACGCCTTTGCTAATAGCTAACATTCACGCATCTTTCACACTAGCTGATGATTTAATCTATAATACCTTAATAACAAAATCTCTCGCTGACATAAACGCTAGATATGAAGAATCCTAGAAATAAACAAAATTCTAATTTAGATGTTCAGTACAAATTTTTTGAAATGTTGTAATAGCAGTTGATCATTCGATCTGGTATTATAGTGCTAAAGGTTCAGTCACCTTTGATTAAGCGTTGTCTGTTGTGCGACATAGATTTGTCGTATATCTGGTATTATACTGCCAAAGGTTCAGTCACCTTTGATTAAGCGTTGTCTGTTGTGCGACATAGATTTGTCACTGCTACTGTGTTAATTTAAATATTAAGAAAAACAGGTTGTTATATAAGATAGATATTCACTACTGGTCCACTTCAATCAGATATCTTCCTTTTGTATCTAAAGTCGTAAGGTTTTTATCGTCTTAATCACAAAAGTCACTTTGATCAGCAGATTGATGTCATAAACCAACTCCTGTTACACTTAAAGCACTGGGACTATAATGCCCTGTTTCTGTTTCATGATACTGATAAGAGGAACACATGAATTTAATATCTCATGCAATCACAGCAAGATCAATTTACGTAAATATGACGTCACTGAATTATTTCATATAATTAAGATACCAAGGTGATTTTTATCGCATACGATTCAGTACTAACTCAAATACAATTCCTCTGTTGCATCAAAACATCAAAGACAAAAGGTCAACACAAGCAAAATCCAAACTCAGATTCATTAAAAATTCATTAAAAATCAATAAAACGATAGGACATGAGACCAAATATTTCGGAAGGGTGAGCGTATCTTTTGCTTTTATCTTTTATCATTATTCATATCACAAGACAGTTTTGTATGTTCTACACCAACTGCAATGGGCGTACATTCAAATGTCAAACTAAGGCTTTATCTTCTTTTCTACCTTTCTATAAGTAAAAAAAACATGATGTAAATGAGTGATAAGAAAACGAAGAGACACCGTAAACGATAATGCAAGAAAAACAAATTCATTTTATAAGACTCGCCATTACAATATATTTATGCTCATTAATTTTGACAAGATGATACAGATGAAATGATACCCATACTATCTAATCACTGTGTAAGATAGCTGTATAATCTCAGTATTTATGTATAGAAAGATATCAATCGATGCGTCCCTTAGATTCTCTTCTTGACGGTAACAACAATCGGATTAGTGTGTTTATGAAGTATCATGACACCTTTGTATGTAATGGTAAGTAAATGGATATGTAGAGTACAACAACAAGATGACATAGGATTAATTATTGGTTTCGGAATGACATTTCTCCTCATTAATATATCCATTTCGAACTGGCTTGGCTTAGATAGGATAAGATAACACTCTGATCAAAAGATTTACAATGTTGCCTGTGTCTGTACTTAGGTAAATGTATCTCGCTATGCACTCGTTTGCAAATGATTGTAGACGAATCACATTGCCGAGATATTTACATCCGTAGTGGTAGCTTGCCTTTCAGAAAATAAAAAAAACATTTGGGTTATGTAGCCACTATGTAAGCCGACTTCTAATTTCCTAAGCGATCCATTAGGCCTCGCGCATCAGTGACTATCTAGAAAGATAAAAAGAAAAGGTTTAATTCATTGTTAAGTAACGTCATATATATGTAGGAAAACATATTGCATGACGCTTTTGTTTGTGTCTTTCGTTTATCCCTTCACAGACAAAATGCAAAAAGTTAGTTTCCATAATTTAGAAAATATTTCTAAAAACATAGATTCAGTCTTTTGTAAACGACTCATAAGAAGACCATGCTTTGACCAATTCGTTTTAATGTCTCCTCTCACGATCATAATCAAACAGTAACTCAAGCATTTTTACAGCATTTGACCGATCGAGGATAAATGTATTGTGTACACCCTGAAATATTGCTTGATCATTTGTTGCCCTGAAAAATTATAAAATAAATTAAAATCACGCTATTGATCCAAAATACTCGAGGAAAATAATGAAGTATGTGCAACCGTTATGAAACTGCACAATAAATGTAAAAAAATGTATTATATATGCGACAATTTGTATTTAGAATTAAATGTTACAGGGTATAACTGTTATACCCATTTTGATAGTTTTTACAACAAATTAACGATAAAAATGTTTACCAACGATTTGGAGAAAAAGGATAAAATTATAAGTACTTTTAGTGAATACACATGTAACATTATTCAAAGGGACAGAGTTCATTACGACTAACAACGGTTGCCATTTAAAAAAAGCCACGATGTCCTTTATATATTTCGTTATATTCCGAAAGACTATCAACCATTACAGCAAATGGTACATCTTCTTCACTCGCTGTACCGGAAGAAGCTGATTAGACAAATAACAGTTAGTAAAGAAGAGGTCCAACGCCTTTAGATAAAAGAACAGAATTTTTTTTTAACTTCAAACAATTCATGTTAATAGATAACTGTTCAGAAGCGAAGGTTCCCGGAAACTCGAAGTATATGTACCATGAAATCCAATTAGAGAACATTAAGTGCCAATCATATCCATACATAGTGAACACGCGGAATAAAGTTGATTGCATTTTAAAAGACTGAAAGAAAGTACATGACGGCGAAATTATCAAATGATCAATGGTACTGAGTGTGTACTACAATGAAGATTAAAATGGAGTAACTTTGTTCTTTTTTATTTAGTCTACAAATATTGTTTCAAAATCGGGTCTACATGTCAACTTTATGCATCAGGGACAGGATCGCGAGAATTATGGACACTTTGAGTGTGTGCCTGCCTCCGTTTAAAGGGACATTTGAACTTTATCTTAACACAACTTTAAAGTATGGTTTGATTCATTAATGAAAACTTATGATAGTGTTTCCTTTTATTTATTTTTCAGAACTGTTTTTTTACATCTCACTTTTATTTCAAAACATTCTATAACTTTTTGATTTATATGTTTGTATACTTCTTTGTTATACTAAGGACTTTTATGGACTATGCTTCCTGCCCAATTCCTTTTAGCAGCAAGATTATGATAATACGATATTCTGAAGTGAAATAATTTAGATCTACGAAATTGACAAGTTGAAATAATAACTGATCAATTATCGATTGTCCTTGGAATTCAGTTTCGTATAGTTCGTAAATTACTCTAAATCAACAAATTTTATGTCCACCATACGATCAACAGATAAAAGCTACATTAATGTACTAAAAACCTCTGTGAGCAACGTCAATTAGTGATGCCAATTGGTAACTAAAGTGCGAGTTATCGGAAAACTGCGGTATAAGAGCCACACAAAAATGCATGATTGCACAGTGTGTAATCCTACATTCAGATAGATGTAAAATTAAATAATAAAAATTTGTCCAATAAGAAAAGTTTAGGGAATATTATTTCATCCCAAAGAAAATATCCACAGAAGCGAATGCGAGAGACAAATATGAAAACAAATAAAAATGATGATGGCAATACAATGGTATATTAGATAACCAACGTGTCTTTACTAGATTAAAGCACCGTTTTGTGCTTAGCTCTAAATTATTTTCGATTCTGCGAAAAACTACAAAAACAAAACAATGTTTTATCAGGCGATGATGTAATATTGTTATGGTGATAAAAATAGAAATAACCTGTTTTTCACGTGCGAGTATGACGTCTTTATCAGTGGACTGCATGTCTTCATCAAGTAATTATAGAATCGTGTATAGTGTGATGTTTGGTTAGGTAATAAAATATTCCATGTTGGTACCATATCTGAGTACATGTACCGTTTATGTCTTCATTACGTGCCTTCGTTCAATATTAAGCATACAATATTTGTAATGTTAGAGCTCTTTGATCAAAACAAAAGTCATGGATATCAAAGGCTAATCTATTTCTCCAGTCATTCAACATTAGTGAGTTAGAATTGTAAGTTATCGTTGAATGTAGTTTTCTTGTCTATACAGGTAGTTCGTTAATATCACGCTGAATGTCTGTAGTTGCATAAATACAGTTGTAAATACTTTCATAAGAAACAGATATAGTGCTATCTTTAGTTCGTTTTATGTTTCCCTGTAGATTCTATCCTTAATAATAATATTTTGTCTGTTCTGAAAGCTTAGAATCACGTCATCGATTACTTAATTTGTTATGAAACACTGATCAGCTCCTATCAATAGAAGATTCGAAATTTGCTTCTGATAATACTATCATATCATTACAATGATGATTATTTCTTTTGTCCAAATATTAAAACATTTTATTCAATATTAAAACACTTTATTCAATATTAAAACATTTTATTCAATATTAAAACATTTTATTCAATATTAAAACATTCACTGTAGTCATTACCTTTTTCCAAATATTGATTAAGAAATATCTATGAGAGCGCTCTCTCCAACATGGCCGTCAATATGTTTCTAGCTTCTTGAATGTCTGGACGCTTATACCTATAATATCATTCAAAAACATGATTTTGATCATCTTTAAAACGAGATCTTGGTAAAAAGCGGATGCCAAGTAATGTGTTTGCCAACAACAATTCAATGATAAGGGTTAATCGATACTGTATTAGTGTATTGATCAAACGAAACGGATCTTATCGTGTTTCCATGGTACAAGATCACGTGAGAGACATATATAAAGGCCAATGGTAAGAAATCTGTTATACCATTACATGATCTAAAACTGTTTCAGTTTAGTTACGGAATTTACCGGTATGGAGAACAGTACAACAAATTCCACATGTATTTTCAATAATTCTGAAAACCTGACTTCCGTGAATTCTGGAGGTGATTCGAGCAGCAGAACTAATTTTTATGTCATTGATGCGTCGTTGATGGATATTTTGAATAAAATCATTTTGTGTGGAATCATGCCTCCGATGTGCGTATTTGGAGTCGTCGGTAATATCCTCGCTCTCGTCATTTTGATCCGCAACAAACCAAACAGATCAACCACCATTGCTCTCATCGCCATCGCCATTGCTGACCTGGCATTCATAACAACAACAATCGTTAACGTCGTCAGTCTTACGATCAAAACCTTCTACCCAGAAAAAGCTAGGGATATTTCGATGAAATTAATCATTCCTTTCTCAGTATATCTCAGTCCACTTCCTGGCAGAATCTCTAACTTGCTTGTGACTCTCATTTCCTTGGAACGCCTGGTTGCTGTAACGAAACCTTTAAAAGTAAAACAAATATGTACAAAGAAGATGATGCTTGCTTTGTCGATTGTCCTCCCCTTGTCTGTTGCCGTTCTCACCGGCCCTAAGCTGTGGTTGTATGAAGTTAAAGAATTAACCCTTCCTGACGGTAATGTGACGAAAATCATTGGCCTCGGTTTCATTGGTCGACAGAAGAAGCTCTTCGAAGTGTATTATATTGTTTCTGAAACTCTATTGCGATTTGTACCTATGGTTTTGATCATCTTGTCCAATATTATCATTATATTTGTTACTTGTATACATGCGAAGTGGAGAAGGCAGAAACAGGGCTACGCCGTGGGGAAACAGTCATCTGGAGATGAAAGGCAGATAACAAAGACACTCCTTACAATTACCTGTATCTTTGTCGTCTGCTTGTTGCCGTCAACTGTCTCACGTTTAATGATTTTGTTTGACCCCACCAGTTCCTTCAACAAGTACAGTTCAAATGTACACACCCTTTTGACTTTACTTGGACTCATTACGGAAACCGTCAACTCATCGATCAACTTCGTTATCTATGTCACCATGAACAGTGCATATCGTCGACAACTTTATCTTCTATGTGGAAAGAAATACAAAAAGAAAACTTTTTCAAGTAACGTTTCCGGTTCCGCCAACACATCCACCACCTCTGTCTGTAACGGACAGTACTCGACATCAGATCTGATGGATCTGTCCATGGAAGTGAGCTCTGGGGGAGATCATATGTGAAAGTCATTTTTACTTTACAATAATCTTTGTTATTGTTAATGTCGGACTTAAAGAAACATCGCACAATTCAAGGAAAAACCGGAAATACGTCATGGAAATATCAAGTATGTATAGAGACATATATAATATAGTTTTCCTTTAAATACATGCATCCCATCAAAAGATATAATTTAAAACGTATTTTTCTACTGTTGTTGTTTACATTCTCTAATTTGAATTAATTTGTGTATAAAATACTTCCGCAAATTACTCGACATTACAGATGATAAAATGCAATAAACATTCAATATACGTATACAAAATATCTCCTTACTAATCATACGATTCATATAGGTGGCAAAAACTAACAATGTCAGTATATATCAGATGCATTTCTGTATGATTAGTGACACTATTCTAAAAATTCTCAGATAAATGAAAATTACAAAGTTTATTGAACCATAGGTCTAGTGCATAATCCCTAGCCAGATTTTTTACATTTCTTTCGAGCACTTTGGAATTTCTTTTGTCGCCTCCCATGTATCGAGACAAAGGCCTTTATCATCTTTATTGGCAAGTATCAAAGGGATGAAACAGCTTTATTTTGCATTTTTTCATCATTTGTACTGCATCTTATTCTTAATTTGTATTGAAAAGTGCTATTGATTTTTGTGTCTTATGTGCAGTCCTCTCCGTCTTAGGTTCTTTACTGTTCAGACAAATTAAATGTTACGAAATCGGTTAATAGATTTCAACTCTTTAGGTCTGTTGCTTTTACTGGCGTATCCTAGAAAGACTAAATTGCTACAGGATTCATTTGTATGATTAGGTGACTATACTGTATTTACATATTCATATGATAAATGTATTTTCATGTGCATCAAATTTGACGATTAAATTTCAGATGTACTTTTTGTTGATATACGATTGTCCGAGATTCGTTTTGTATGTGTGTTTACCCCGTTGGCTGGTTTCTTTGGAAATTATCATCAGTTAAAGAATCGATGACTGTTTCTTTATCAATGTGTTGTGTGTCTTTCGATTTTCTACTTTTTATGTTAGATAGCATTCTTTCCAAAAGGAATTGACTGAAAAATAGATCAGTTAGGAACTGACACGTATATGTAGTTTTCTCATAGAGCTTTTACCGGTTGATGGCCTTAATGACCTTTTATGACTTGATTGGCCGTTAAGAATGCAATAATGATAATCTCCTGAGAGAGAGAGAGAGAGAGAGAGAGAGAGAGAGAGAGAGAGAGAGAGAGAGAGAGAGAGAGAGAGAGAGAGAGAGAGAGAGAGAGAGAGAGACAGACAGACAGACATACAGACAGACACAGAGACAGAGACAGAAAGACAGAGAGAGAGTGAGAGAAAGAGACAGAGAGTAGGAGAGACAGACATAGAGACAGGGAGAGAGAGAGAGAGAGAGAGAGAGAGAGAGAGAGAGAGAGAGAGAGAGAGAGAGAGAGAGAGAGAGAGAGAGAGAGAGAGAGAGAGAGAGAGAGAGAGAGAGAGAGAGAGAGAGAGAGAGAGAGAGAGAGAGAGAGAGAGAGAGAGAGAGAGAGAGAGAGAGAGAGAGAGAGAGAGAGAGAGAGAGAGAGAGAGAGAGAGAGAGAGAGAGAGAGAGAGAGAGAGAGAGAGAGAGAGAGAGAGAGAGAGAGAGAGAGAGAGAGAGAGAGAGAGAGAGAGAGAGAGAGAGAGAGAGAGAGAGAGAGAGAGAGAGAGAGAGAGAGAGAGAGAGAGAGAGAGAGAGAGAGAGAGAGAGAGAGAGAGAGAGAGAGAGAGAGAGAGAGAAACCAGCTGATATCATGCTCCGTAGATTTGCCAGAACGTTTGATTCATAATTTTAGATGTTCTTTTTCCAACGTATATGGTAAAAGCAAAAATGATTTTATGTCACAAAATATTTACCACAGACAATAAGTATGTACTCATTTGAATAAGATGATGTATACGATATCCGATACCGTTATGTTTCACTCAGTTTTGTGAAAACTATCTTTAAAAAATACGATAATCAGCTTATTCGAGAGCTTTGCTGACTTCAAGAAGTGGGATTATTTTTTAACATTTTATTTGAAACATTGGAAAGGAAGGTTTGATATCAATAACGTACGCCTGATAAAACGATATAGTTCTTTTCATGGAAGAAAAGCATCTAGTATCTAAACGATTAAAAAAATATCAAACTTCATTATATCTCTGTAAAATGTATATATGATCCATGTATATATTGATATTGTGAATAATGATATTGTATTGTATACTGTAAACGTGCTTATTTGGGCACTAACAAGTTTGGCGCATTATCACCTGTTGGCAGTGATAAATTTGGGCTTGGATCTTTACATGTATGTGACTGTTTCCATTCATTTGTTAAACTGTTTTTGTTGTAATAAATACAAACAAACATAGAAAGAAGTTTTATTGCTGGCTTAGAATAGACAACCTTTACATTCCTATCTCTATAAAAAAATCTCTTGTAAGGGGAGATAATTTGTTATTAAAAATGTATCAAGGTATAAAATAATGGGACGAGTTGTTATAGAAAAAAATACATGTAATGGTAACAATGCAGCGTAGTTCAATCAGCTACTCCCCCTCCCTCCCCCTCCCTCCACACCTACCCCTATCCTTGTTCAGTTGTTTTGTTACATGTAATGGTAACAATGCAGCGTAGTTCAATCAGCTACTCCCCCTCCCTTCCCCTCCCTCCACACCTACCCCTATCCTTGTTCAGTTGTTTTGTTACATGTAATGGTAACAATGCAGCGTAGTTCAATCAGCTTTTCCCTGTCAAATGCTTTGGAATTTTCCCAGTCAATGACATAATTTGCTGTGTGAAATAATCTGCAAGTGCCGATATAATGAGCTGGGACTCCGTTCGCTCTGATCTGGTGAATTTTCTGCCTACTTTGGATTCCGCGTCTTTCTGATGTTCATTTGGTCGGACTCAGAATCACCTGTTCGTTTCTCCGAGAATACAATGCGCCACAGCTCTTGCTTTGTGTTGTGTAAAAAGATCTTATATTTATTGACATCACAACCTGAAGAAAATGACCTGCAAACTTTCAGCGAAAAAAATTTATAATAAATACGATAAGTCTGTTAATATTGCTCTATGTTTGATTCCGCTGTCATGATTATGTATACACTGTTAACTGTATTAAACTTGATATATAAATGTTTGTAACCTCTTGTGTCATACAACCAAACGTTACGGATAGTACAGGTAAATAAAAATTTGGCAATATTTATTTTCGTCAATTCTGTGTGTTTCTGCCTTCTTGTTTACTTAATCCACTTGTCTGCCTTAGTCGTACAATATAAAAACTTCTGAAAACCACGTTAAGAATGACTGCAGTGCGATTTTGCGCCAATAAAAAAGATATAGTTAAACCGATTCGAATCATGTGATCAAATTTCGGAAATAAGGAAAATAAAATCGGGAAGTCTATGATTGACCATTAGTGGAAAATGTTGACGGTTTTCGCCATTGGCGATGGAAAAGCCTATCATGGGCCATTATTTCTTTCGAACAGATTAACAATGAGCAAATTATTTCTGACAGAAAAACACGTTTTAAAAAGGGTTATTTGAAAAAGAATCGAAAATGTCATTTCAAGCAAATGTTATTCCAAAAAGCATATACAATTACGGTCAGATGGAGATCAATGGCTCATTTAAACGGTCAGACGCTTTGGTTTTGTAATTTAACTGTATTAAATTGGAGTGAATCTCCAAGTTAACTTGTATTTCAATCGGAGTAATATTCGATGAGTTATGATTCATTAACATGTGTAGATCATATTTACCGAACCAAAGGTCAAATGTCCTTGTAGGAAATTGTTTCGAAGGGGTCGTTGATTAGCTGGTGCACGGACATTAAATGAGAATAATGATTGCTCAAGTACATGACACATAATTACGTAAGACCCTGATTTCAAAGCAATGGACCGTTTGAACGATTTTATGGATTTCTGAAACTGGGATGGCTACACTTAGTTGAAGATAAACGCAGCTTAAAGGGCTTAATTGTCCTTTACTAATATTAAAAGAAAAAGATTAGATATTTCTTCAAGAGGATTTCCGCTGAAATGATTAGTAATTTGAAATATAAAAACAACGGGAAACTTTAAAAAAAAAATTCTTTGAGCAATGGTGAAGTTAATGTAAGATTGCATATTGACATGGCATATTCCGCCTTTGTATGCTGGGACTAAATGTCTAAGGGAAATGTTCAACGCGGTCATGAAACAAGATTGGAAACAGTAAATATTTTATCATCATATTGATAAATCTCATATTCCACCTCGTAATTAAGAGAAGACTATAGAATATGCTTTTTCGCTGTTTAGGAAGCAATCAATACATAGATATATAAATATCAATTATCACCAACACCACTATGAACGTCAACAATTGACTTTATAACCTTCAACACTGATACTATGATCTGCTCTCTGTAGAAAACTATGCATTTTTATGGTTAGCGTAATTGCAAGGTGTCGTAATACAGCTAAGAAGATTTATTCTTAAGGAACTCTTCTGTGTTGGTATCACCATACGTTTTATAGGGACGGTCACGTAAATGTACCCATTTCATACATGTTTCCTTCGTTTTTTTTCGATTTCCGGCCTACGTTGTTTTTAACATTCTTGTAAGCACATGTCGTTTCATACGATTAACAATTTATCAATGATTTATTTACTTATCTTTGTTTGTATTCAATATACAAATACAACTAATGAATAATAGCATTGTCATGCGAAACATTCATTCTTTCTCAATACGCCTACATTTATAAGAGTACCTTTTTGTCTACAGGTACAACGTATACATGAATACAGTGCTACTCTGCTTGCTAAGAACAGTGAAAATCTGGTTGTCACAAAAGTTCTCTTATAAAATCATCAAGAAAATACCAACATGTCAAGAAAATCATAATTTTATTCAAATTCCACAAAATCTAAGTCAAAATATGACCAAAAGAATGATGTCACTTTCACAAACGAGAAAAATATATACAACAACGGAAAAACACGATAATTAACGAGCATCAGACACGTCCATCTTCATATCGCACATACGGAAATAGAATATCTGAAAGAAATCATGTTTATGTACAGTGTAACTACAAAGTTGATGACAGACCGAGATCCGGACGTCCACGTGTAACATCGCGACGTCGAGATCGGTTCATTAAATTTGCCTATTTGCGTGACAGGAAATTAACGGAAGCCGAAACATCACCAAATACCGTTGCTAATAGAAACCATCGAATACATCTAAACCTGTGAAAAATAGACTGTTAGGGGCAAATATACGCCAAGTTCACCAGTACGTTGTTTTAACACTGACACCTCTACGTCGAGCACGTCGTATGCGATGGTTAAAGCTTGTGTTTTGGAGACGGCAGATTTGAGGATAGGTCGGTTATCGTTTGGGGAGGGATTTCCCATGGTTTAAAGACGTATTTAGGGATCATCAACGGGAATGTATCAACTGTAAACATTGATATGAGATCCTGAAGCCACACGTTGTCTTTCATTAAAAGGTACCATTTGACCTTTCAGCATGATAACGCTTGGCCACACGTTGGGAGTGTTTGTTGGGACTTTCTTGTAAACCAGGACGTCATCCCTATTGATTGGTCTCCATGTAGCTCTGATTTGTCCACAATCAAGTATTTGTGGGATGAATTAGACAAAAAAAGTTTGGAATCAAGCAAACATCCCAAATAACCTCCGCCAACTGACCAACGCACTAATCGAGGAATGATATAGTGTTTCTGTACGAGCAGCCAATGGCCTTACGTACGCCATGTTACGCAGAATTAGACACGCTGTAGCTGTTCGGGTAGGGTAAACGCGGCATTAGGGATCGGTCTGACAACTGACGTTATTCCAGTCTAGTGTACATGAGAGTATCCTAATTTGAAGACGGATTGTCCAATAATCGAGGTGAAATATTGCATTTCACATTTAGGTATATTGCTCTAAAATGGTATTATGTTAAACCGTAAAACTGCATTTCTATTTTTTTTTCTCTGAGGATAACAATCTCAGGTAATAAAGCGTTCAGTGTGTGAATCAAGATCAACAAAGATATTGCGCGGAAACCTAAGTATTACTTTTTTTTTCTATTTATAGTAGCAGATCATGCGACCTTTGACCACTGAACCTTCAGGGCGATCCCATGTGTCCACTTAACAGATATGGTCAGGGTATGCTTACTATTACTATAATTCTATAATGTAACAGACCGCGTGACCTTTGACCAACTAACCCGAAGAAAAAAATAATTTGGGCGTGATGATAGCTATTGCATAAAAACGAAATACAGTCTTTTCCAAACTAACGCTTGGGATGCATATATGGTTCTCATTAAACTGGAGGATATCTATTCAGAGAATTATTTTTCCCAATGTCATTATTGTTCTTTAACAAAAAACCAGTCTGATAATTTCATAGCCTCCTCATGTATTTGTTCCCGTTTGTGTCAATTTTCACTGATTCTATTCATCTACCTGCAGTTGCAGGTACAAAAATTTACGTTTATCATAAACTATTACCAGGTGAGCGATTAGGCCCGTAGTGGGAATAGCCATGGCGCAACGTCCGTCGTCTATGAACATGGAACGTGTTATTGTAAGCATATGATTTTAGCTAAATATTATCTTACCCAGCTTCAGAATTTTTTTATTATATAATGTTGTTTTGAATTGTTTTATTTTCTAATATTCCTGTAATATTTTTATGAAAATTTATAAAATTAAATATAAAAAATATTAGTTTTAATCATGACAGTCAATATCAGGAATAATAACTAATAAATATTAATCAGGATGTAAAAGAGAAGGGTTATAACTCTTGCCAGATAGTGCCTCTTTTTCGTCTTTGTTGTGTTGTGAAGGAATTACCTCCCCTGGAGCTAGTTTTGTTCTAGTTTCACTTTGCGCTGTGGTCGCGGACGTGGATTGTTTCTGATCGCTGATTTTCGATGTATATATTATATGTAAGTATCACAGTCTTTGATTAGTCTAATTAGACTACAAGGTAACTGGCATAACCTTTATCAGACCGGAATATCAAATAGTTTAGAGTCTTGTTCATCATATGAACACATATACTGTCAACTGATCAATGTTGACCTAGATACTAGGGTGATGACCTGGCGACACAGATATCGCAATGAAGATTTGACCGAGATCTGAGTGTGTATGAGATAATGTTTGCACCGATGAGCACGTGTGTAGGTAACTTAGTACTAACTGTATCGTGTAATAGCTGTATTGATAGAGACGTACACCGTACAACACATGGTATTACATACATCTATGGTACATTGTACTTGTGTACAACACATGATATTACATACATCTTTAGTATATTATACATGTACTAGTCTCGTCTGCCGTTCATAATACACACTTTTGTTATCTATCAACTGGATATTGACAGACGAGGCAAAAAGTAAAAATACAGATGCAGATATATGTACCTGTTTGCCTACTTTCAAATAAGTAATTTAGCAATTTTAGTTGACATTCATGAGCATATGAATGCCAGTATGACAGGGGCAAATTTAAATATGAATATGAATATTACAAAGTGTACATGTAAGTAACCAGTACAGATATACAGTGAAGTGTGTTCTCAGTAACTAACTAATTTTTTTTTTCTGATGAATTATACATGTAAATAAACACAGACAAATGTATTCAATCCTTTTTTTAAAACCAGCCTGTACATGATGTGAGGTTAGACTGATCACTGGGATCATGGGATCAACATTCCTGTTGTTATCTCCCCTTGCCAAAGGTTGTGGGAATTTCAGTACCATACAGAGGATAAGGTAATAATCAAAGACATTTTTGTCAGAGCTTTTTACTTTTCTTTCTTATATACAAACAAGGTGTTGGTACATTTTTGTATATCTTTTCAGAATCCTATATTTGGTAATTAAATACTTGAAATGAAGCCATTTTTTAACATTTGTGTTCATTTTTGCTAGTAATGAGAAATTCCTCCCAAATTAATATCTACTCACCAACCCCAATCATTCCTAGCCAGATATTAGACCGTGTACTGAAGGGAATCTTAATCATTTGTATGATGTATTGTGGACAATGCATGAAAATTACATCAGCATTTTAAGAAGTACCAATATATAAGTCAAGATTTTAGACTTTGTGAACCTTGACCTTTTAGACAGATTCTTTTGTTATCGTGCATTAGAGTGTTTTTTTAGCAGCTTTGTAGAATCTTTCCTGATGTAATAAGTACTGATTACCAGGGCTTCTAAATGAAAGATTATTTAGTATAAACTATATTTATTTTTACAACAATTGTGAAACAAACTTTCAGCTTATATTAATCACTCTTGTTGGCCCAAATGGAAACAAGAATCTTACTGTGGCAGGAAAACACAGTACCTGGGGAAAACCCACGTGGTTGGGCAGATGACCCCATGATTTTCCGGGAATCGAACCCCGGACAGCTAGGTGAAAGGCGAGTGTGTTACTTACCACTGTGCCACCCAACCACACATAGAGATTATTTATTTGCCAGAGTCTCAATCATTTTTGGTAAATTATTATAAACTTTCCCTTTAATTAGTAATCATTATCTGACCACAAAGTTAAGGAATGTCCAACATGGTGGAAATGTGTATGTTTAAGTGGAAAGCATTATCTACATGTTTTAGTAATTGTCAGGCCACAAGTTCTGAAATGTGGACTTTGTTCCCTATAAATTCATCCCATTGATTTGTGTTTTAACAAATATTTGTAAATAAGTAGAAAAAATTATCTCATTTCATTTCACAAAGATTTTTTTAGTTTTCATAAATACTTCAGATGAATGCTTTGAGACAGACTCTGACCAGAAGAATATCCAGAAGAATGGCAGACTGCTGTTTTTGTCATGTTTTTTTTTTCATGGTGACTGGTGCATCTCACGCTATATAAAGTTTGTATTTTCACATATCTCTAAAACAGGTCCCACCTAGAAACTGCTGGTCACTCCTGTGTCCTATGGGATCCGGACACTATCACTGATCCAGAAATGCTACAGGACATCGCAAGTCAGCACAAAATCCAGATGGTTCTAGCCCTACATGCATACAAAGCAGGACGACACCTTCTAGGTATTGTAATATGTCATTATAATTATTTATCAGCATTTTCTCCTCAGTGTTGTTAAGGAATTAGCAAGATATTTCAGCAATATTCTAAAGAAATTTTCTTGTCAGAATTGAATCAATAAATAAGATAACAAACACAGTGACATGATTCTTGAGAGTTAACTGTAACAAAGGACAAGTGTCACAGCCATGATACAAACAGAGAGTGCAGATTACTTGTCCATAGTTTTACCAGCTTGGTTGAAGTAAAACTCATTTTTTTCTGAGTCAGTACAGAGCAAGGGGATTATATTTACCTTAGGGTCACATCTTACTCAGAGTGACTCTTTGCTTCATGGCTAGCTGTAACAATTCCATGATATGAGTCAGCAACAAGTTTCTTTAGAAACTTCTGATATTAAAAATACTTTTTTTGACTTTTAGGTACCAATTTGCCATTTATCCTAATATTTGGGGGCACTGATGTCAACATCTATGCTGCAGATGCTGACAAACTGAGTGTAATGACCAGGGTTGTTTTTCTTGCTAAGTAGGTATTCGTATTTAATTTTTCTTTCTTTTTTGTAAAATCTTTTTTCCCCAACAGACAAATTTAATCAGACATCTGATAATGGTATTCAAATTTCAAAATTTGGTTGTTTATACATCAAAGTTATTAATACATTTGATTACAAATAGTTTGTTTTTTCTCAAAGCACACTGCAAGAAATTGAATAAGTCGTGTTGAAACTTAAGGGAGGTAACCCAAGCTTTTATTTCAGGTCAATGCATACACAATTATTGATTTCTTCAGGGAGTGAATCACTTGATTGTGAAATTGTTGTTACGTTAATTAATTAGTTGTCATTTTATCTAGATAATTTTTTTTCTTTTTGTTACAGAGGTATAATTTCATTCAGCCAGTCTCTTCTTAATGCAGCTATGTTACTCTGGGTGAGTGAATACTTTATATATACTTTATATATTCTCAGGGCTCTGTAGATAAAGGTAGAATAATGGTGAAAAGAAAAATATCATTTTCAGTTGTGTTACATAATATGATAAGTATATGTATATGTATATAGCTCTAGTACAGCATAAAAGTTAGAAAGAAACTTTGAAGTTGTGACATGACTGCAATGTGACAGTGTTGTTGATTACCTAATTATGATAGTAGTGTTAGCTATTGCTGAGGTTGAAAACAATTTATTAAGAAAAACAAAATAATCAGAAATTTGATATATATTTGATTATATTATGATATTCTTTTTTTAAACATCCTGATGGCTAACAAAGTTATAAAAATAGAAAACATACAAAGTACATATATACTCTACAATGCTGTTCTTATTCTCAATTTTTCTTTCTTTATTTCTATTTTGAAATCTATCATAAACTTTTACATTTTAATTTATGTTTTCATAGCAACTGCATTTTTCAAAAGAATACAAGTGAAAATGAGAAATATCTTGGATCTTTTTATGTATTTTGAAAATTTTGTTTTTGTTTTTAAGCCATCCCTGGATACTAGCAAATGTTTTGAAATAACGCAAGGTATGTTTTATCAGAAAGGTTTTTTCATATTTGTGTTTTCAATGTTTGTGATTTTAGGTAATATTAAGCTGAAAGTTTATTTACGATCAATTGTTTGGTTATTCGATTTCAGTATTTCTATATACAGCATTACACAAACACATATTTAATGTCCTTGATTTTGTTCTGCTAACTTACCAAAAGTTGTAGCTCAGTCACAAATTTATTATATTTTAGTGATTGATTCCGTAGGTGAAGCCCAGGAAAGGTTGCAAAAAGAAATGACCTTCACCTGTTGTAGGTTCCTTGGATAAAACCCGACAATCAATTTGAAAAAGGAATTGACCTTCTCTCATATTGAACATCTCAGGTTTCAAATTTGTTAAAGCCTTCATGCGACTTTTTATTAACGAATCTGATTGTGAATATCAGTGATTATCTGCTATTCCTCATGATGTTTATTCGGGTCTGTCTGAAATGCCATATGGCCACCATCTTGAAAATTCGTTTTAAGTTTCTGCTTCACTGCAAGTGTCATTGATATGAAAGACTGTGGAAATTTTGTGAAATTGAGTTGAAGAATATTATTTTTTTTTGTTTTTGTTATCTTTACTTTTTTGTAATCATCTGATTATTTTTTCCTATTACCAATTTTATGATGTTATGATGTAGAGGTATTTATAATCAAGGGTAACCTGAATGACCATTAAGGTCTAGATGCTTCTAGTACAATTTGTTGCTGTGTTACCATGGTAGTACTACTCCTGTCATTGGAGGTACACTATTGAATGTCTTTTTCCTTATATCTGGTTTTGTTGCTATTTTTCTCCGCAAGCTGTCGTGACCAGTCCATCAGATTTCTCAATGATCAAATACCTTCAAAACCATTGTGGACTGGAAATTCCTTCAGAGGTAGAACCTAAGATATTTTTGTTTGTCGGAGGTATAAGACCAGTGAAGGACCCCCTCTACCTCGTCAAGCAGTTTGGAGGTAAGATTAATCAATTATGTTTTTTACAGTGTTATTTTTACAATTAACTGGAAACATTGTCTCATTCTTCCTTATCAATTATGTATTAAATTTAATAGCTTATTAGCTGTTAATTAAGACAATATTCACACCCTGCTATAGTCATATGAAGTTCTGTGTGTGTTATAAAGTCATGATTTCAAGCATGGTCCTAGACAGGGGTTTGTATATATTTGTCAGATCTGTTATCTAGTTATATATTTATCATTTGATAAATCTTAAGTTATCCTGTTGACATTTTGTCAGATTTACAATTCTTTAAGTAAAAGTTGGATCTTATAATCAGTATGCTGACAGTGGAAAATTATAGGAAACAATTTTACTTTAATACAGGCTGGGTAAGCCTCTTAACAGTTACTATGATACAGGCTGGGTAAGCCTCGTAACAGTTACTACAATACAGGCTGGGTAAGCCTCTTAACAGTTACTACAATACAGGCTGGGTAAGCCTCTTAACAGTTACTACAATACAGGCTGGGTAAGCCTCGTAACAGTTACTACAATACAGGCTGGGTAAGCCTCGTAACAGTTACTACAATACAGGCTGGGTAAGCCTCTTAACAGTTACTACAATACAGGCTGGGTAAGCCTCTTAACAGTTACTACAATACAGGCTGGGTAAGCCTCTTAACAGTTACTACAATACAGGCTGGGTAAGCCTCTTAACAGTTACTACAATACAGGCTGGGTAAGCCTCTTAACAGTTACTACAATACAGGCTGGGTAAGCCTCTTAACAGTTACTACAATACAGGCTGGGTAAGCCTCGTAACAGTTACTACAATACAGGCTGGGTAAGCCTCGTAACAGTTACTACAGGCTGGGTAAGCCTTTACTACAATACAGGCTGGGTAAGCCTCTTAACAGTTACTACAATTGGGTAAGCCTCTTAACAGTTACTACAGGCTGGGTAAGCCTCTTAACAGTTACTACAATACAGGCTGGGTAAGCCTACAGGCTGGCTGGGTAAGCCTCTTAACAGTTACTACAGGCTGGGTACCTAACAGTTACTACAGGCTGGGTAAGCCTCTTAACAGTTACTACAATACAGGCTGGGTAAGCCTCTTAACAGTTACTACAATACAGGCTGGGTAAGCCTCTTAACAGTTACTACAATACAGGCTGGGTAAGCCTCTTAACAGTTACTACAATACAGGCGGGGTAAGCCTCTTAACAGTTACTACAGTTAAGCCTCTTACAGTTACTACAGGCTGGGTAAGCCTCTTAACAGTTACTACAATACAGGCTGGGTAAGCCTCTTAACAGTTACTACAATACAGGCTGGGTAAGCCTCGTAACAGTTACTACTATACAGGCTGGGTAAGCCTCTTAACAGTTACTACAATACAGGCTGGGTAAGCCTCTTAACAGTTACTACAATACAGGCTGGGTAAGCCTCTTAACAGGCTGGGTAAGCCTCTTAACAGTTACTATATACAGGCTGGGTAAGCCTCTTAACAGTTACTACAATACAGGCTGGGTATACAGGCTGGGTAAGCCTCTTAACAGTTACTACAATACAGGCTGGGTAAGCCTCTTAACAGGCTGGGTAAGCCTCTTAACAGTTACTACAATACAGGCTGGCTGGGTAAGCCTCTTAACAGTTACTACAATACAGGCTGGGTAAGCCTCTTAACAGTTACTATGATACAGGCTGGGTAAGCCTCTTAACAGTTACTACAATACAGGCTGGGTAAGCCTCTTAACAGTTACTATGATACAGGCTGGGTAAGCCTCTTAACAGTTACTACAATACAGGCTGGGTAAGCCTCTTAACAGTTACTACAATACAGGCTGGGTAAGCCTCTTAACAGTTACTACAATACAGGCTGGGTAAGCCTCTTAACAGTTACTACAATACAGGCTGGGTAAGCCTCTTAACAGTTACTACAATACAGGCTGGGTAAGCCTCTTAACAGTTACTACAATACAGGCTGGGTAAGCCTCTTAACAGTTACTACAATACAGGCTGGGTAAGCCTCTTAACAGTTACTACAATACAGGCTGGGTAAGCCTCTTAACAGTTACTACAATACAGGCTGGGTAAGCCTCTTTACAGTTACTACAATATAGGCTGGGTAAGCCTCGTAACAGTTACTACAATACAGGCTGGGTAAGCCTCTTAACATTTACTACAATACAGGCTGGGTAAGCCTTACTACAATACAGGCTGGGTAAGCCTTGTAACAGTTACTACAATACAGGCTGGGTAAGCCTCTTAACAGTTACTACGATACAGGCTGGGTAAGCCTCTTAACAGTTACTACGATACAGGCTGGGTAAGCCTCTTAACAGTTACTACAATACAGGCTGGGTAAGCCTCTTAACAGTTACTATGATACAGGCTGGGTAAGCCTCTTAACAGTTACTACAATACAGGCTGGGTAAGCCTCTTAACAGTTACTACAATACAGGCTGGGTAAGCCTCTTAACAGTTACTACAATACAGGCTGGGTAAGCCTCTTAACAGTTACTACAATACAGGCTGGGTAAGCCTCTTAACAGTTACTATGATACAGGCTGGGTAAGCCTCTTAACAGTTACTACAATACAGGCTGGGTAAGCCTCTTAACAGTTACTACAATACAGGCTGGGTAAGCCTCTTAACAGTTACTACAATACAGGCTGGGTAAGCCTCTTAACAGTTACTACAATACAGGCTGTAAGCCTCTTAACAGTTACTACAATACAGGCTGGGTAAGCCTCTTAACATTTACTACAATACAGGCTGGGTAAGCCTCTTAACAGTTACTACAATACAGGCTGGGTAAGCCTCTTAACAGTTACTACAATACAGGCTGGGTAAGCCTCTTAACATTTACTACAATACAGGCTGGGTAAGCCTCTTAACAGTTACTACAATACAGGCTGGGTAAGCCTCTTAACAGTTACTACAATACAGGCTGGGTAAGCCTCTTAACAGTTACTACAATACAGGCTGGGTAAGCCTCTTAACAGTTACTACGTTACTACAATACAGGCTGGGTAAGCCTCTTAACAGTTACTACAATACAGGCTGGGTAAGCCTCTTAACAGTTACTATGATACAGACTGGGTAAGCCTCTTAACAGTTACTACAATATAGGCTGGGTAAGCCTCGTAACAGTTACTACAATACAGGCTGGGTAAGCCTCTTAACAGTTACTACAATACAGGCTGGGTAAGCCTCTTAACAGTTACTACAATACAGGCTGGGTAAGCCTCTTAACAGTTACTACAATACAGGCTGGGTAAGCCTCTTAACAGTTACTACAATACAGGCTGGGTAAGCCTCTTAACAGTTACTACAATACAGGCTGGGTAAGCCTCTTAACAGTTACTACAATACAGGCTGGGTAAGCCTCTTAACAGTTACTACAATACAGGCTGGGTAAGCCTCTAACAGTTACTACAATACAGGCTGGGTAAGCCTCTTAACAGTTACTATGGGCTGGGTAAGCCTCTTAACAGTTACTACAATACAGGCTGGGTAAGCCTCTTAACAGTTACTACAATACAGGCTGGGTAAGCCTCTTAACAGTTACTACAATACAGGCTGGGTAAGCCTCTTAACAGTTTACTACAATACAGGCTGGGTAAGCCTCTACTACAACAGTTACTACAATACAGGCTGGGTAAGCCTCTTAACAGTTACTACAATACAGGCTGGGTAAGCCTCTTAACAGTTACTACAATACAGGCTGGGTAAGCCTCTTAACAGTTACTATGATACTGACTGGGTAAGCCTCTTAACAGTTACTATGATACAGGCTGGGTAAGCCTCTTAACAGTTACTATGATACAGGCTGGGTAAGCCTCTTAACAGTTACTACAATACAGGCTGGGTAAGCCTCTTAACAGTTACTACAATACAGGCTGGGTAAGCCTCTTTACAGTCTTAACAGTTACTACAATACAGGCTGGGTAAGCCTCTTAACAGTTACTACAATACAGGCTGGGTAAGCCTCTTAACAGTTACTACAATACAGGCTGGGTAAGCCTCTTAACAGTTACTACAATACAGGCTGGGTAAGCCTCGTAACAGTTACTACAATACAGGCTGGGTACCCCTCTTAACAGTTACTACAATACAGGCTGGGTACCCCTCTTAACAGTTACTACAATACAGGCTGGGTAAGCCTCTTAACAGTTACTACAATACAGGCTGGGTAAGCCTCTTAACAGTTACTAACAGTGGGTAAGCCTCTACACAGTTACAGTTACTACAGGCTGGGTAAGCCTCTTAACAGTTACTACAATACAGGCTGGGTAAGCCTCTTAACAGTTACTACAATACAGGCTGGGTAAGCCTCTTAACAGTTACTACAATACAGGCTGGGTAAGCCTCTTAACAGTTACTACAATACAGGCTGGGTAAGCCTCGTAACAGTTACTACAATACAGGCTGGGTAAGCCTCGTAACAGTTACTATGATACAGGCTGGGTAAGCCTCTTAACAGTTACTACAATACAGGCTGGGTAAGCCTCTTAACAGTTACTACAATACAGGCTGGGTAAGCCTCTTAACAGTTACTACAATACAGGCTGGGTAAGCCTCTTAACAGTTACTACAATACAGGCTGGGTAAGCCTCTTAACAGTTACTACAATACAGGCTGGGTAAGCCTCTTAACAGTTACTACAATACAGGCTGGGTAAGCCTCTTAACAGTTACTATGATACAGGCTGGGTAAGCCTCTTAACAGTTACTACAATACAGGCTGGGTAAGCCTCTTAACAGTTACTATGATACTGGCTGGGTAAGCCTCTTAACATTTACTACAATACAGGCTGGGTAAGCCTCGTAACAGTTACTACAATACAGGCTGGGTATTTACTATACAGGCTTATAACAGTTACTATGATCTCTTAGGCTGAAAGAAGACAAATTCAAGGCCCTTCATGACCTGTCAAATTACAGTGATATATAATGATTAATGAGGTGAATCTTGTGTGTAACAATTGTACGAAATGCAGTAAACATGCATGTATTGATATCATTGAAGGACAGATAATCATTACTTTGGAACAAGGTCATATGTTACCAGACACACAAGAGAATAACACTTTTTATTCCAAATTTAGAGTTAGATAAAACTGAACCAAGCATTGAATCAAAACTGCATCATATAGCTGTTTCATTCTTCTTAGACTCGTCAGTCATTTTAAGGACTAAAAAAATTGAAGCATTGGAGGTGACTGAAGAAAATTAAAGTTGAAATGAGTTTTTACTAGGAATCACAATTTTTCATTCTTCATATCAGTATCAAATTATTCATTGGTGTATACTATTTGACAATGTGACATCCTAATATCTTCAACACACAGAGAAGATATCATAACATCACAAACTAGTCTTTCAGTTGAGTCAAAGTGGGGACAGTGAGACATAAATTTCCACCATTTTTTGTTATTTTGATATAGTAAATCTGAAACTATACACGTGACATTGACTGCTCGGTATATGAACAAAATAGTTGTCAAACATTGCCAGTTATCAGGAAACATTACAGAACAAACAAAAACAGAATCTGAATGACTTGCATGTCTGCTGGGGCGTTTAATGATACATTACTTAACGAGCGCCATGTATGTACCCCAGGCCGTAGCAGACATGACTGGATGCCATTAGCCTACAATAGACGGAAGTCTTAGATTAGATACACATTCTACATTGTGTCAGAAATGTACTATGGAGGGATCACTGTAGCCTACAGATGAAGATAATACGTAATCCGTTGTGGTCGAACCTATTTGGATGATCCATACAGTGGTATGCTGCCAATGAGAAACTTGTACATGTGTGTCAGTACATACAGAAAATATACGCTTTACTAGAGAGACTAGTGATGTAGCCTTTGTTAAGCAGATTGTGTATACTTGTGGTTGAAGAGCACACACATTGCTCTGTTGTGATAGAATAGCTTCTTATTTCAGCTAAATGATAATGCAATGATCTGTAACTGTCTTAACACTGATTGAGATAAACTTACATCCAACATGAAGTTCTTAATAGGAAAGCATTTTCTCTTTCCATGATTATGTGAAAACAGCTTCTCCGAATACTTGTGTCACAAGATTCTATTTTCATGTTCAAGATAATGGTCACCATCTTACTTGGTGATATATATTAATTTTGATTTGGTTTGATTGCTTAGCGCTGGTAATGAAGGGTTTGATCGCTGAGCGCCAGTGATTAAGGGTTTGATCGCTGGGCGCTAGTGATGAATGGTTTGATCGCTGGGCGCAAGTGATGAAGGGTTTGATCGCTGGACGCTTGTGCTGAAGGGTTTGATCGCTGGGCACTGGTTATGAAGGGTTTGATCACTGGGCGCAAGTGATGAAGGGTTTGATCGCTGGACGCTTGTACTGAAGGGTTTGATCGCTGGGCACTGGTTATGAAGGGTTTGATCGCTGGGCGCTGGTGATGAATGGTTTTATCGCTGGGCGCCAGTGATGAAGGGTTTGATCGCTGGGCGCCAGTGATGAGGGTTTGATCACTGGGCGCTAGTGATGAATGGTTTGATCGCAGGGCGCTGGTGATGAAGGGTTTGATCGCTGGGCGCTGGTAATGAAGGGTTTGATCGCTAGGTGGTGGTAATGAATGGCTTGATCGCTGAACGCCATTGATAAAGGGTTTGATCGCTAGTAGAAGCATGATATGTACAACATTTGCTCACGCACTCTGTCATGAGGGGAGTGCTAAATAATTGTTAGCTTTTGCGAAAAACGCTGCAAATTCTGTTCTAGATAAGGTACATTTATGATATTGCATTACAGATCTACACAAAAGAAGAAAAGATGTCTTCTATGTTATTCTTGGATCTATGGTAAGTAATTTGTAAAAACATTTTCTTTATTATTAACGTTGGAATGAAAATGCTTGTAACATTGCTTAATAAGTATTTTTTCTGTAGTGAACATTGTACATGATAAGGTGATAAATATGTACAATTCACGTTGTGTTGCAGGCAGATGCAGCATACAAAGACGAATTTATGGCCGGCATCAGTGGGTATGTTTTTGTAACAATAGAAAATTATTAGTTAAAGGAATGTTTTGTATGAAGAAAACAGTAAGAAAACAAGACAGATCCATTCAGATACATCGGAAGTATTTGTACAGAAAAGGTACAGTACTGTTCTAGATATTTCAAAAATGTGACCCTCTTCGGCTTCATGGATCATACATCGTGTAAATTTAGCTTAATATAAGTGATGTCAGAATTTCCAAGAGAGGTCAAAATATTTCATTGATATTACATTCGTTGGCCGATTTAGGGGTAAGTTTATTAAGTTGATTGTTTAAGTCTTACAATGTACACACGTTGAATGTCTGTGCTAAGCAAAGAAATGGTTTCTTGTGAAGAAGAATAAGAGGAATGAGAGACAAATTCAATAATTTTGGCCAAGTTAAATATCACTTTTGAGACAGCAATCAAGTTTCTATTTTGCAATCTTTCATATTTTCGTCTTTTTGTTGTAAATCAAAATAATTCCCTGCATTGTCCATTGCATCTAATACAGCTTAACCGACGAAAAATAAATGCTAACCTTGGCAAGGCTATTATTATTACCCTCCTCTGTTTAACGTCATATGTGAGTGTGAGAAAGAAAGTAAACTCGAGTGTAAAGGATTTATCAACGTTAATATTTTAATGTTAGATAATTTTTTATTGCATTTAATGTGAATACCTGCAGGAAAGTCAGTATTGTTGACAAATCGTGTGCCGAAGTTCTGCGCTATTGTTAATTGCTGTATAAAATAACTGCTATTATGGCCGACACATTCGCTGGGAGAAACGCTGCTATTGTTAATTACTTTATAAAAGAACGAAGATTGACAAATGGCAGGGAGAAGCGCTACTTCAGTTGATGGGCTACTAGGAGAAGCGCTATTTCGGTTGATGGGCCTACAGGAGAAGCGCTACTTCGGTTGATGGACCTATAGGAGAAGCGCTATTTCGGTTGATGGGCTTATAGGAGAAGCGCTATTTCGGTTGATGGGCCTACAGGAGAAGCGCTACTTCGGTTGATGGGCATTAGGAGAAGCACTACGTCGGTTGATCGGCCTATAGGAGAAACACTACTTCGGATGATGGGCCTATAGGAGAAGCGCTATTTCGGTTGATGGGCCTATAGGAGAAGCACTACGTCGGTTGATGGGCCTATAGGAGAAACACTTCTTCGGATGATGGGCCTATAGGAGAAGCGCTATTTTAAGTCATATAAGAAGTTTCTGCCAATAGGAAATTTGTGATATACACAATTTATATAATATATAATTCAAACGTCCTTTCATCTTTTCCGTTTGTGGTTTTAGTGTACCTGGTGTGGTATATATACCTGGCCTAAGTGCAGCCGATACACACGCAGCTATTAGAGGAAGCTTCGCTCTCGTCAACTCGTCCCAAAGTGAGGGTATGGCGGTCGCTATCTTAGAGGTAAGTAACTTGTGGTCAATGTGGACGAATAGACCAACCTTAGCATTGTAATAACTGTTTTGAAGATCTCAGATTTTCTCCAAGTCATGCTAAATGTACACGGTATCTTGTTAAACACGAGCAATTTAGATGTAATTGACAGGTGCTCTATTAAATAGGCCCTGACTACGATATGGGTAGCATTTATATACTACTGAAAACATGTATTACTACGTGTTAATGATGTGTAATTGTGTCTCATTGTTTTTTTTAATAAGCAAAGTCTGTTTATAAAAGAAAATTGATTCCAACGTAATATGATATTGGTAGAATTTGATATTAATAAGAATCTTTAAAATATCTTACTAATGATCAATCAAACATTCCATTTAGTATTAATGACTTTTAAGAATAATTATGATTTTTTTAAAGTCGACGTCCGTTGCCTCTTATCTGATATTCAGTTCCTTGTATTTGAAATCAAACTGTTATTTCCGGTCCTGTTTTGAAGTGTTATAAGATACGTACATTAAGCTAACAATACTTGATTGAACCCATTACATTCTATCGATTGATATATCTATACTATATAAATGTCTTGCTTCAAGCGTTTCCAAGTTTTTATACTTTAGATTCCATTGTTTTCATTGCTCATAATTCAGTGAATATTTCGTAACTAGGGAAGCTTTTGTTTGTATTTAAGGCAATGGATTTAGGTGTTCCTGTCCTGGTGCGGGATATTCCTGGTAACCGTGCAATAGTAACCGACGGTACTAATGGCCTTGTATTCAATTCATGTGACGTACGTATATAACGCGATCTTTTGTACAAAGTACAGTGTAGATGCAAACATTTAGTTTATGGAATATCGATTATAAATTAATGTAAAGTTGAAATTCTGTTTTCTTAATGATGAACTTACGTAAATGATCTTAATACTTATTCTTGTAAACCGTAAAAATCTTTTTAGATTTAAATTTTATTAAAAAGGATTTTTTACACGTGGCTAAGTATGCCCAAGGACAGTGATTTTTTTCCTTTTTGAGAAAATATGAGATAATTTCGTTTATTTTCTGACAAGTTAAATTAAATAGCATGATTTTGGTTCCTAATTATTGATGGTGAGATACTGTCGAACCTCGTTATCTCGAACTTGGCGGAACCATGGGAAAATTTCGAGATTTCGATTTAAATGAATTGGAATGTTTTGTGAAACGGCAGGCAGGGACCGACGAATTGCTTCGAATTAAAAAGTGATTTCGAATTATACGAGTTCCAGATAACGAGGTACGAGGGTAGAGTTTGACACCTCTGTTACTAGTTGGTTATGTAATGCTAAATATTTCTCTTACATGAATAATGTTGTCGTTATCAGGAATTCCAACAGAAATGCGAGGCCCTGCTGGATGATTCTACGTTACGAACTGTATTGACATCAAATTCATCTTCATATATTTCAAAATATCACAGTTTATCAGATGAAAGACAAAAATATATTGAAGTAATTTCTTCGTCGTTAGATCCATCGTTAGATATAGCCTGAATTTTGGTAAACCATTGTCATCTTAATTTGTAAGGTTTAATACATTAATATTATAATAAGGATTGTATGTTCTATATTAGGTTTGTGTTTAGTTACTAATATGTACATGCACACCATAGAATAAGATAAGAAACCTATTGATACAATGATATATATTGATGACGACACATATAAGGTTTGTTTGGCCATACTGGTGCAAGTATTTATCATTTAATTACACATTCATATTCATATTTCTATCGAGTTGCATTTCATGTTACTTTAAACATGTTTCATCGTGAAGGAATTTGGCACAAGTTTTTGTATTTAACCATGTCTTATGTCATACATGTAACGAATATCTGTTTTTAACTTGTATGTCTTTAATGATAAAAACTGTCGTTAATGTTTAAAAAAAGTCTAAATGTTGTGACATTCATATGTGTCTTCTTTGCATATAAGATAATCAATTCCCAGTTGATTGTATCATGGTTAGGGTCGGCTATTTCTCCTGGAAATTTTTAAACGATGTTCCCCACAGTTCTGATAATCATATATATCTTATATTTCATGTTTGTCATTGATATTTCCTGTTCATGCTGGTTATGCAAAATACAGTAAACATTAATATGACCAAGGATTATCTGCTTGACCTCACGTTTGTAAATTACATATCTAACCGTGGTTTAATAACCAGCAAATGTATATATTTAATACACAAGCTTACGGAGAAAAAAGCTGCAAAATGACTTGATGATAATCAGACTGTCTGTGATAAATTATATTGATCAGATTATTTATCGCTCCTTGTCTCAATGATTATATTGATTAAATGATTTATCTCTTCTTGTCTCAATGATAATATTGATCAAGTGATTGATATCTCCTTGTCTCAGTGATAGTATTGATCAAGTGATTGATATCTCCCTGTCTCGGTGATACTGTGCGTTCAATACAATGGGACAAGAAAATGCTACTTATCAAATTATTTAACATGTGTATTTGTATATATAATGTAAGTACCTTTAAAGAGTGAGACACTAACTGGATAACAAAGTGTTGGCTCTCTTACTGATATTATACGTTATGGAAGGAGGACAAAATACTGCGCCTACTTGACGCCAATAGCTTATAAGATTTTCAGGTACGGATTCTGGATCCATCCATTAAAGTTTGGTCAGCTTCCTTTTGAACCTTATATATTATATAATCAATTAATGAAGTGTAATTGTAGTACATTGCTGTTTGATTTTAGAGTATGCTTCCATTATATTATCCGTCTGGTACTTTTTATGATTATATTCAGATTGTATATCCTGAAATTGGTTGTTTATTATTTCCTTCCACTCTCTCCCCACCTCTCTCCCCTCACATGAATGAAATGTTCATATCTTATCTTATCGATTGCTCAATGTTTTCATCACAATCTCTTCGTTTAGTTAAAACACGTTGTTTCATTTTTGTTTCTTCTTCCTCCTCTCTCAAGGTTACAAAAATCAATTGAATTTTGCGAACGGAATGCTTTTCTTTTGTTCAATTTTTGCAGGTTTTACCAAAAGTGTCAAAGGTATTATATGTGTTATTTTTATGAAACAGACTTTTTAGTATTAAAGCAGAATTAAGAAAAACACATTTCATAGTTGCCATCAGCTTACGGGGGGATATTTTCTATAGTTATATTTATAAGACTACGCTCTGTATCTTCCTTGTTACTGAATCCCATGGTTTCATTATTAATCTATTGCCACTTCTTGATAAGGAGACATGATATTAATTTGACTTTTGTTAACAGTCGCGGTTCTAATTAGAATTGTGTTCATATTATGTTGACCAGTATTCTTTTTTTCATCCTGACTTACTTGTTTTTATTTTATTTTTATGATATTTAGTTTTATTCTGTAATTGAATAACATGAAAGGTTTTTATCTCTTAATCGTTATTACCTGTCATAAATATTAATAAGCCTGTAATTTACAGGCTTGGTGAATTAATTGCATTGTGAATTTTGTGGATAAAACCTACCTCTTACATTGTGGAATTGCTTTTAAAGGACGATTACGGAATTAAAAGTGAACATTCAGTGAGAAAAGTGGTTTTTAAAATATTTGCATTTTTCACAGATAATTAAAGATTTTTAAAACAAGTTTAAGATTTTTCGAGACCAAGTCTAAAATTTGACTCAGTCTATTGAAATTTTGCTTGTAAAATGAAGAAAAGAAATATCAGTGAATGATGAAGTAAAATTTACACACGCTATTTTTACTAATGCTGTTGGTAACAAGAATCAAAACTGACCAATCACGGAAACAGAATTAATCGGCCTATAATGCAGTGAAATCATCCTGCTACTATTTTTGTATATGTCACCAATGTAATTATTTTATCAGACTTTAAAAGCTAACAATATGTAACTTTTCTGAGGTATGTGAATAAAAAGTAAAACGAGATTTTAAGAAACTCGTCTGGAAGTGTAAAAGCTAAAACAAACGTTTTAAGACTCATTTGATAAAACTCGTGAAAAATGAAATGGCCTACTTTTACATATCCCTTTTGTTATCGACGGCAAAATGAAATCCCACACTGATCAAATTTGTGCCAATCATGAATATGTATGTATTTGTATTTTATTTTATAGTTGATTTTAATTGGCTGGTTTAATGTTAACAATTATATATAATTATGATAAAATTTGTTCAGTTATAATCAGTTGTCAGCTGTAAGTAAGTCGGAAATCCGACATATTTTAGATCCAGGATATAATTTGGTGGTTTGTTTAAAGTTAAATGAAACAAACATGTGAAAGATTTCGAAATTCCTCGATAGATATGAGTGGTTAAGGATATCATGGTTAAGGAAGAGGGTTGTTGGTTTACATCATGGTAAGAATGTGATTATCATGTATCGTTTAAAAGTAACTGAAAATGTTTAATGTAAAGGTTGTTATCTTTTCCTTATTTTTTATAATTTACAAGAGGTCACACTTAAGGGAAAAGTTTGCATTATTTAATAAATCATAACAAAGACTTAAAATTTGTCATTCAGTTTTATTGTTATTAAACAGTGCTATTCATTTGTCTGTTTTTGGTACAATTTTTAAGATTGCAGGTGATAAACACTGCTGGTGGATTGAGTCCCCTCGGTTTGCCGTAACGGTCATGCCACGTTTTAAAATTCATTGGAATAGAAGTACGGTTCCAGATATACACATGCACTTGAGGTTCTTTTGAAAATATCAGATAAATGAAAATTAGGAAATTGTGGCAAATGCACCTCCCTATTTAGATTTTGATATTTTCCTCTTTAGATTCTCCTCTCAGTCTCCGTCAGATCATTGTCCTGGAAGTGCCAAACAGCTATATGATGCTGTTTAATTCATTATCTGGCTCCATTCTAACTCTATTTTTGTATTAATGGTGCCATTCACTTGTGGGTGTTTGGTATAATCTAAGAGATATTTCTATTTTAGCACGTCGTTGATATTTTATGAGATAATACGTGAATGCCTTGGTATTTTCTCCTTGTCGTCAATAGACTATAAAGCCAAACATTACGCCAGAATTGTAAATATTTATCTTTGCACTCAAATCACTCAATTTCGTTAAAATGGCGATACGTTATTGATTAATTAATTATATGTTATTAAAAACAAATCACATTTCGTATTTATTTCATTTTAAATACTGGTTACATATTAAACGACTAATGTTTTCTTGAAATATTAAGTTTATTTTGTCTTTTCATGAATCTATGAATCCATATTTCTTTGTCTGAATACGCTAAACAAACGGTTGATGCTATATAAAGATATTAGTTCCGTCTCCACGTCTGCCATGACGCCCATTGTTATTGAACTTTCTGGAGCGTACCAGAACGGCAACACTTACAACACTTTTAGATTTTTTAGGTTGACCTTCTGTACTGATATTGTGCTGACGGTAAGATATATCGTTCAGTTTTACGCATTGACGTCTGAATCCGTTTGCAGTCACTCAAAGACGGTATTTCACTAAATAAGGAATATTATGCCCCTGGATTGAAAGATCGGGAACATATTATTTATATGTGCTGTCTGTCTGCCTCTCTATTTGTTTATTTGTCTGTTGTCAACTTTAACCTTGCCCATAACTACTGCACCGTAAGAGGTAGAGCTTTAATATTTGGCAAGGGTATTCGTTTTGACAAGGCATTTATGTGACCGTGACCGTAACCTTTGACCTACATTCAAAAAACTTTAAATAAGCCATTTTTACAATGAATACTAAAGTGTGCATGCAATTAGAACATGCCTTTCTCAATAGTTTTAATGCCCCACATCAGAGTTTTGCAATTGTTTCATAAATACATCTTGTTTTGATCTGAACCACCTAATCTCTGTCATTGTCCCTATATGTACTGAGATATGATATATAGGAAGGTTATCCAAAACTGTTGCATGTGAAAGTGAGGCTACCACGACGGCTGTATATGCCTGTTACAATGATTACAGTAACAACGGCTTCTAAAGTCTAGTAAATTGATATCCTTTCGTCTAGCAAAGCTGGTTTTCGTTTTAGACATCATCAGCTTAACACCTTCCTCTATGTTTTGTTTGAAATCGAAATCTCGTAGTAATGATAGGTTTCCAAGACTGTGTTGTTGGAAATGGTTCAGAAATGGATAGGGTATACTAAGGCTCCTAGCACGGCTTGATGTCAAATTTAATTTGTCTGATGTGTCAATATTTATGAAATATGGTGTTAATGCTGACGGTTATGTCACATGCAGATGTATTATTGTCAATGCATCATGCTTAAAATATGCATCACCTCTCACTATGACGAGTACTAGTAACTAAGAAAACTTTATATTAACAATATCGATGACGTCATCAACACATGTGTATACATGACGGTAGTTCGTCAGCACGATATTTACCAACATGGGCAAATGCATGTACATGCCTTACGTGAATATGTAATCACCACCAGAGAATGGCACAGCAAGAAGTATCTGAATGACGTGGAATAAACGGAAACAATCAAAATTTATTAACAAATCTATAGTAAAAGTGAAATTATCAATATATGAATAAGCCATATATCTTGATCATAAATAGCTGGGACTTTAATCTGAAATACAAATGAAATCAATGTACGTGTAAAACTTTCTCTCACCAACTCTCTGACTCATCACATGGTTAAGCTATTATCAGTGTGTAATGGACGTGCGTGCATGCTACTTATCGCCAGGTTTGTTATAGTTGAATTCTCCACCATGTTTACACGTGTATTGCATGCCTATTTTCTCCGCTCATTTACAGGTGTTCTTAGAGAGCGAAATTGATGTACGTGAAAGTATAACTGTGGTACCTGTAATATAGTTATTTCTTCAACTTAATACGTGTACCCCAATGTATTATATTGAAGCAAATTAAAATACAATAGAATTTCACCTCACGACAAATTCATCCATTCGGAAAAGGCTTATCATCATTAATGATTGAATTAGGTATACAGGGATACTGGTTTTATACTCGCTCTTAGGAAAAGCCAAAAACCAGATGTGCGTAAAAGGAGGCTTTCGATATTGTTTACGTACGAGGATAAATACTGAACATTCCAACTGAGTCTTGTTTTCAACCATCTCCTTCAAATTATCGAAATCCTCTTATTTGTGTTCAGAACTTGTTTGTGCTACATAACCGGAAGAGCACTTCGTAAATTGGCTACAAATGATTAATGACCATTATATCCTTCCTCGGCTTTCCTATCACAAGAAGGCGAGCCCAACAACGCCACCAGATTGTCTTATACACCAACCATTGCCACAAGCATCAGTCAGTGCCACACACATGAACCAGTGCCACATACACCTACCCATGCCTCAAGCATCATTCAGTTCCACACACACGAACAAGTGCCACACACATTAACCAAGGCCACAAGCATCAGTCAGTGCCACACACATGAACCAGTGCCACATACACCAACCAATGCCTCAAGCATCATTCAGTTCCACACACATGAACAAGTGCCACACACATTCACCAATGCCACACACATCATTCAGTTCCACACACATGAACCAGTGCCACATACACCAGTCAGTGCCACAAGCATCAGTCAGTTCCACAGACATGAACCAATGGCACAAACACCAACTAGTGCAAATATTCTTTCTAATTTCTGACCTTCTTCTACTCTCTCTCTCTCCAATTTAAAATCTTAATACCAACGTTGTGTATAAAGTTTTAATCATTCGCTGGTATTCTGAAAACAAAATAATACTTGAACAATCAATTTTGTCACCTCCAGCCGTAACCAATCCCTCCTATAACAACAGATGCGCTCATTATTATTACGATTGAGATTTTGTGTCTACTTTGTGTTCTCAGGTTTACCACAAACCATGATCTGTTAGATGACAGAGTAAATCGAAGCTAGATTACACACAAGGAAAGACTTGAACGGGCTAAGTGACAGGCACGTGGTAGCTAAAGACTGCGCCACTTTAAGATATAACAATGTATCGGAGATACGTGTAACGTTGGTGATGGTTCTTAACATAAATGGTAAAGTTATTGAAGCCAAATTTTGTGATTTTTTTCTTCTTTTGTAAACAAGCTATGTTTACGGATTACTATAATTTCATCGAGTCTTATGTACAGTGTATCTAAGTAAATTCAGTGTTTCTGTGTGGTAAATTTGACGATACTCAACGCTTTATTTAATTAGATATCATTTGATAATATGTCTTATTCAGTCTTTGTGAATTCGTGAAAAGAAATTATCTCAAATATTGATGTTTATGCATACATGTACAAAGGTGTTTTTGCTTCAACAGTTTAACCGTCAGTAATATTTCAGGCCTTGAAAGACACGCAAGCATTAAAGGAGACAGTCAATCCTTAATTAGAAAATAAAGGTTATGTAACATTTTATTGGATAATATTCATAATCTAATCCCCAATATACATATATACTAATGCATTTCCATGTCATTGCCATTACGATCACGACGCTGGCCAAAACATGGCGGCAATCTTTCCTCTCCTCGACATTTAATTGATTAATGAAAACGACATGCTCAAATATGTCATCGAAGTGTGATTTGGGAAGGACGATGAAGATTATCTTAGGGTCATATTTAGAATCTCTTTTCTCCGCTTCAAGTGGGTTTATTGGTAATTATAGACTGCCGAGCAATACAATGACAGTTTGACCTATCGTTAACATTCTCAAATAAAGGATCTTTAAATGAATATATATGTTATATCACAACAAAGTAAAACCATATGTCACACGGTGTTGTATCCTAGTTTTACTTAATAATTTTATACAGAATGATGCGTAAATTTCAGTCTCCATTTGAAAGAAACTTTCCGACAACTTCGGATGTGTCTCCCGTCACTTGTCAATGTCGGTTGTTTTACTAATATCGATCTACTTAAGTAAACAAATACCTGTACCATTAAGATATAGACATGGAAATTTCGCGTAGTTACACTGGGAATAGATATAAACAACAATTTCGACATATAACACAGTGAAACATTTAAAATCTTTTCATATGCCTCGATCTACACTCTGATCCGAATGGATGGACAATTTAACTTAAAACTGAGCGTCTACGTCATCAATAGTTGAAAGGAGCGTGTTTATTAGCCAAGACCACGTAACTGACCGTTTCGTACAAAATGTGCAGATCTTAAGATTTTTTTAACGAAAGGTTGATATTGCGATAATTACACCACTCTCAAACTATTTTAGAATGGGTAAAGTATGTCATTGAAAACAAACATATAAAGCAAAATGGACGTTGATGCAACTTACTGTAAGTTACTTTGATTTTGGGAATACTTTCGTAAATTTACCTCTTCGCGAAAACATAACTTCGCGAGCGCTGATTTAGAAATAATTCAAAATACACAAATGATGACCTGTTAGAGACATGTACTCTTGAAGAGCCCAATATTATTAGTGGATTGCTTCATATTGGATACCATTTTGTTTATGAGAATTATGCGTCTAGATACCTGAAAACGTCTGAATTTAACGGAATCACCATGGATACCATCTATAGTAGTTACTTTTATTTCCGTACAAAAACTTGCGAGGGATTTGAATTTGCGATTGGCTCTCCTCGAGTTTTAACTCAAAAATAAATCACACGCGAAATTTAAGTGATCTACAGTACATGCAACTCATTAAAATAGTTGATGGCCCCTTCCCCTCTTGAAATGTATTTGCATCCAATGTTTACGAACTATGAATTAGGAATTAATATAAACAGTCAGCTCGTTTTCCAATCCCCAATATATATTGTTTATTGAACAACTCTCAGTGGTAAAAAAAAACTCTGAACACAAAATAATCTTGAAACTTAAGTAAGTTAAACTTGTATACTTTCGAAATCTCACATAACCAGTTATTTTTAAACAGCAAATCAGGTGCAGATTGCTGTAGAAATATCATTTTGAGAAATCGTTTGTGTCAAGGCTATGGTTATGTAACCGAAATGATATGCTATCTAACCGGATGTGGCGATCAAGTACTATTTGTCATCCTAAGCACCCAATCCGCTACGGGAATTTCAAGGGAACGCCACATTTCATAGCCTTCTTGTATTAAAGTGCTTTGTTCCTTTAGGAAAGGATGGTGATCATTATTCCGAGTTTTATAACTGACATTGATGATTTAATATAAGGGTTCCCTTCCATTTGGACGAAGTCCTGAATATGTCACCTCAGTCAGGTAGGAAGTCAGATATTCATGAATTTCAAGGAATATAGCTATCTACCTTTGCCTCTGTGTGTTTAAGGGGACATTTGTGAATTTGAAAACCGAGAAGTTTTCGCTGTTATTACGTTAAAAAAATATATACAAATAAAATCTTTTCCGAAACTTTCTAGTCATTAAACTTCTTTATCAGAGTTCTGAACAATCAGTTATGAACGGATAAGATTTCTTCCCTATAAAACGATCGTAAAGTGGAAACATTCCATATTCAGAGATTTTTCTTCTTTCAGTTTCAATGCCTCCATCACATGAGAAAAAAATCTTTGAAATGAAACCAGTAAAAAGGATCTGGTCAATAGCATGATCATATATTTCAGATACATAAGAATTGCTACGGCTGTTTTTAAAAAGTAGACAGGCATAATTAGCATTTGTTTGTTTGGTAAGTTTTCCGTTCGCTTCTATTGGGCAGACTGTTTTTGTTATTGAACTGATATATTTGAAAAGTACGCAATAATTGATGACCAATGATAACGGTACACAAAAAGTCATGACATATTTGAAGGTACACAACAAATACTGAAGACACCGTCTGAAAAAGATTTTTGATAAAAAAAGACGCGTAAAATGTATGTGAAATGTAGATGTAGCTTTAACCCAATTAATTTTCATTTGCTAATAAAACATATAACAAATGGCGGCTACTGTTAGATCCAAACATCGCTAACACAAACCTTTCCGCGGATAATTCGAAACGCCGAGCGAAGCTATCTTTTCACGTGAGAATCTTTTCGCGGTAGTGTTGTTGATACCGTGTTGATGGTGTTGCTTGAAGAGACTATACACTGATGTCTTCTTTGCAATAGATTTATAGGCACATTTATACGTTTATCAATGGTTTATAAGCATACGTCATAGTTAGAAAATCTCTGTACGATGATTGTGAGTATCTAGTGTGCCAATGGTACTATGTATACTCTCAAGATATAACGAGGAATTTCTGACACTATCTCTTGAACTACTGAAGGTCTGCGTGGGTGAGTAAATGGACAAGGAGGGTTGGCGGGGTTTAAGGAGGGAAATAAGTATCGGACAAACAACACGCTTAAAGCAATATTACGTCACGAATGGGGTTGGTTCCAGCGGCAATTATTTCACAATTAGTGAATGTCTTATTACCGACTTCACGGTAGCCTAAAGGCTTCACTCTTTACAACAATGTTGTAAAACACAATCGTAACCTATCACAATTATTTCGTACACTTTGTCCGATGTCTCTAACAAATAGACTGAAATTCTTTGACGTCATATTTGTTGCGCGTGTATGACCTGGCACGCAGGCTATTTTTAGCTATGTTACCTACGTTTCCATTCCATCACTGTGTGGTTCCTCCTCTGTAACTGCTCGCTGTCGACACATGCGCAGAGCCTCACCTTTGTGATAAAAGAAGGAAACACTTCAGTATACACTGTTAACTGTAGTTGTGATAATTGTATCGTTTCGTGGCCGGCATCCGAGACTTGTTGGAATTTAAACTCCGATCATAGACAGTAAGTATACATATATATATATATAAATACATACATTTCATCCCGCATTAAGATCTAACTCCTCATTCTCATTAAGAGATTTCATTTCAAAATGACTAGATACCGATACGTGTCCCCTATTTATAGAACAGATATTTAGGATTTCACGAGCATTACGAGACATTTTCATTCATAAATGTGTACCCAACACAAAGTTAATAAATGAGTAATGTACGTTTGCCTTATCAAAATTTTCACCTTTGAAAAAAAAACTTTTATGAAGTTCATGACCTCAATTAACAGAGATTAAAAGGATCATGAAGATGTTTTCATGGATGTCAATAAGGTGTGCGTTCAAACAAATTTTCAAACGGTACATGATATGTATCTTCCTCGAATCAATGTAGCGCCAGATCCAATCCGCTAATTTATCTAGTACAACTACAGATTTTTTTTGTCCGTACTGTGTTATGATAATCTTTAGTTGATACCAATAAATCACCTGTCACATTTTATAGTAAAACTATATTACATAGCTATAGTCGTTGTAATTAGTCATTTGTCACTAGGATCAAACACGCATATTACTGATTGCCCGCATCTCTTCATACACAATGCCTAGACTGTTATTTCGTAATTAATCAGCAGTAGGTCCCTTCCCCCGTCTCTAGCCTCTATTGATGAACCTTCGGGAGGTGGATAAGCGATGGGAGGGGGTCTCTATCATCACCCAGACATCCAGACATTGATGCACACAGCTCGTGGCGCGGACTGATGCACGAGATTCCGGTGGGATTGGGTTTCAGGTTGTCATGACTACGCGATCTGTTGCTATACGTATTGAAGTATGAGATTTGGAGGGTAGGAAAAGCACTATGATATATAAACATAACCCCCCTGTTTACCTATATATAATATCTATAAGTCCAAAACTTCTTGTGACACCTAAAGTCCTACTCATATGTGTGATTCCTACCGTAATCCTTTATTTGTGAAAATTGAATTACATAACCATTTACATATTATCACACACTGATCAGTTAAAGCCGACAGAATATATCTTTTGTCAATCATTTCTTGAGACCACAAAGTCTCGATATTTCTATAACTTCACAGCGTAACTTTATTATCTAACAAGCTGTATGGCACAGTTTGATAAAAATTAGGCCGATCTCTCAACGTACACGTCTTTGCCATACGAATCTTTCAAATGAATTGTTTCCCAGCTTGTAATACCTTGAACAGTTTTGTTTGGATAGAACATCCATCATCCACTTCCGCTGTAATTGTCTGGTGATCAGACATACATGGCTAAACAACCCGAGAATAGCGCAGCACAAACATTTCAATTGATTTAAAAGATTTGTAAAGTCATCTTACACGGTCTGGTTATAAATAGATGTACAGACTGTTTTAAACTGTATGAATGCTGATAGGCATCCGAGCAACACACAGCTGTGTATTACAAACCTGATCCGAGTCTAAAATTCCTGTTGGTTTGTAACCTTTGAAACTTTCGTTTTCTTGTGATTATTTATGGAAGTCGAACGTGTCTTTGATGCTGGAAACAAAAAACAAAAAAACAAAAAACAAAACAAAAAAACTTTAGTCTATCTTTTTCATTGTACAAAATTAGCGGAAGCTTATATTTATACCTCTCCTCATATGGTTTGGTTTTGTGCCGCTGTAAGCTACCAGTGGTTTTAATTCACTTCGTTATGACCCGCGAATCTTCGTGATAACTTGGCAATCAACACTATTATTCTGAGCCTGAAATAGAAATATTAATCCTGTGAAAGTGACGAGGGAAAATAATGCACTGTTAACACGTAGATTATACACATTGTTTATTGTTTAAACTTTTATTAGCTGTTACCATGTACATCCTTATTGCATTGTTATACATTAATGCACAAGTGCACGTACATTACGTGCACGGCACATTTTACGATGCACATGGTCAACACCTGTGTGCGAAACAAAAAGTTTGTTTGGTGAATTAAGTGAAAATGGTATTCCTCCTAAACGAATTGGGAACTCTAAAAAGACCTTTTCCACTCACACCTGCAAGGGGCGAAGGACTTAAGGGTGAGGGACACTTCAAGGGGGCGAAGAACTAAAGGGTGAGGGACACTTCAAAGGGACGAAGGACTAAAGGGTGAGGGACACTTCAAGGGGACAAAGGACTAAAGGGTGAGAGACACTTCAAGGGGACGAAGGACTAAAGGGTGAGGGACACTTCAAGGGGACGAAGGACTAAAGGTCGAGGGACACTTCAAGGGGACGAAGAACTAAAGGGTGAGGGACACTTCAAGGGGACGAAGGACTAAAGGGTGAGGGACACTTCAAGGGGACAAAGGACTAAAGGGTGAGGGACACTTCAAGGGGACAAAGGACTAAAGGGTGAGGGACACTTCAAGGGGACAAAGGACTAAAGAGTGAGAGACACTTCAAGGGGACAAAGGACTAAAGGGTGAGGGACACTTCAAGGGGACAAAGGACTAAAGGGTGAGGGACACTTCAAGGGGACAAAGGACTAAAGGGTGAGGGACACTTCAAGGGGACAAAGGACTAAAGAGTGAGGGACACTTCAAGGGGACAAAGGACTAAAGGGTGAGGGACACTTCAAGGGGACAAAGGACTAAAGGGTGAGGGACACTTCAAGGGGACAAAGGACTAAAGAGTGAGAGACACTTCAAGGGGACAAAGGACTAAAGGGTGAGGGACACTTCAAGGGGACAAAGGACCAAAGGGCGAGGGACACTTCAAGGGGACGAAGAACTAAAGGGCGAGTGACACTTCAATGGGACGAAGGACTAAAGGGTGAGGGACACTTCAAGGGGACGAAGGACTAAAGAGTGAGGGACACTTCAAGGGGACGAAGTACTAAAGAGTGAGGAACACGGGGATTGGGCACTGATTCCCGACCCACGGTCCATACATATATATCATATTCATATGGATCATGGGTCGGGATTTCGTGTCAAATCTCTGTGGTGAGGGACGAAATGACGAATACACAAATCTGCCACAGTATAGATTAAATAAAATACACGCCATTTTTATTTTTAAACGCGCTTCTTTTTCTGTGACCTCTTTAATGTATGACTGTGTTCTTTAGACAACCTAGTCGTGAGCTAGTCGAATTTGACCAAAAAACAGGGATGCTTCCCACGTTTTTTTAATTTATTACTATCTACATAAAGTTTTAGGTTTTGTTTACATTAACCTGATAATGGTTGCTACGTTCCCACTTTCCCACTGACTTCGCTGACCACACATTTTCTACGTAAACCATGTTTAATTGTTAAGAAGATACAGCGGATCTTATCCTACAGTCAATCGTTCCTATGTATCAGGGGCATGTTTTCAGTAGTGTATGCTTTCAAGAGAGGGTCCAGGGGCGAAGACCCAGTGGGGGATCGGAGGTGGGAGGTTGGGGGCTAAGTAAAGTAATTACAAAGGTTAGAAAAATATCTCAATGGATTTCAAGTGTATGCTTAATCATACAAGTATACAATGTTGCTACGCCAACGTGAATGATGGTACCTTTTAGGATTTAAGGCTTGGGACTAACAAATAGGTGCCCGGTCCGTTTTGAGCTGAGGTTTGGTATTCATCTTTGTTTCCCTTGTATCTATATTTTTAGACCCATCGATCGGAAAAATACCTAGTCTGGGAAAACCGGAAACGTGTCAGATCTCATGTCTAAATAAAGTTAGTTGAATTGCCAGGCCTGAACTATAAATAGGTATTTTATTGTAGCTGGAGGTAGGAGGTCATTATCCCACGCCGAAAATAACATCATTTTAGACTAAGGTTGATGTTTAAATTCGCAAGTTGTATTTGGAAGCCTGCTTTCCAGCACAGTAATACATCATTGGTACCTGACATTCATAGCCGATACCTTTAATGAATTCCAGACTTCGGTTTGTTACGCCGGCTTTCATTGGATAGCACAAGACCGGGCATTGTGCTAGATACAAATCATTCAGGATATAAAGAGTTACTGTCCTCATTTGACCCTTGCTGTTGTGTGTCCCTATGTCTGTGGACACCGTCGTCATGTTTACATAACTGTTGTGTGTCCCTATGTCTGTGAACACTGTGGTCATGTTAACATAACTGTTGTTTGTCCCTATGTCTGTGAACACTGTGGTCATGTTAACATAGCTGTTGTGTGTCCCTATGTCTTTGGACACTGTGGTCATGTAACATAGCTGTTGTGTGTCCCTATGTCTGTGGACACTGTCGTCATGTGACCATAGCTGTTGTGTGTCCCCATGTCTTTGGACACTGTCGTCATGTGACCACAGCTGTTGTGTGTCCCTATGTCTTTGGACACAGTGGTCATGTGATCATAGCTGTTGTGTGTCCCCATGTCTGTGGACACTGTCGTCATGTGACCACAGCTGTTGTGTGTCCCTATGTCTGTGGACACTGTGGTCATGTGATCATAGCTGTTGTGTGTCCCTATGTCTGTGAACACTGTGGTCATGTGATCATATCTGTTGTGTGTCCCTATGTCTGTGGACACTGTGGTCATGTGATCATAGCTGTTGTGTGTCCCTCTGTCTGTGAACACTGTCGTCATGTAACCAAAGCTGTTGTGTGTCCCCATGTCTTTGGACACTGCCGTAATGTGATCATAGCTGTTGTGTGTCCCTATGTCTGTGAACACTGTTGTCATGTGACCACAGCTGTTGTGTGTCCCCATGTCTTTGGACACTGCCGTAATGTGATCATAGCTATTGTGTGTCCCTATGTCTGTGGCACTGTCGTCGTGTGACCAAGGATGTTGTGTGTCCCTATGTCTGTGGACACTGTCGCCATGTGACCATAGATGTTGTGTGTCACTATGATTGTGGACAATGTGGTCATGTGACCATAGCTGTTGTGTGTCCCTATGTCTGTGGAGAGTGTCGTCACGTGATCATAGCTGTTGTGTGTCCCTATGTCTTTAGACACTGTCTTCATGTGACCATAGCTGTTGTGTGTCCCCATGTCTTTGGACACTGCCG